TTCCGGGTATCTCAGTATCAGTTATCTCCCTTTAACTCACCTCTCCAAGCTTTTGCTCACCTCTTCTGTAGCCAGGTATTGAACACCCAATTCTTTGGGTCAAGTCACTGGATTCGACCAATACTTTTATCCACTGGACCATGTGTCCTCAAGGACTTTATATATTATTAAGTAACTGTTTCAATTTTGGTTGAATCCAGTGACCTTGTGAGTTAAATACCTAGCTACAGAAAAGGTGAACACAAATTTGGAGATTCGTGTTAAAGAGAGATAACTGAGACATCCGGAAGAGGCATAGCAAATGGAACTTGAACAATCTAGCCCGGTTCAAAATTCCAATCACCTGAAGAAGGCCGGAGCGTACTACGTTCGAAACTTCGCGAATATGGTAACAAAGATGAGGACAAAATGTTTTTCTCGTCATTAGGCTACGAAATTAATGATATACCTAAACATATATTTCAGTATTAAGCACTTTAATAATAAGTTCGTTTAGTGGATCTGTTCAGACCATGAAACCCAGGTTCGAATCTCAACAGTGTCGATTTGTCAGGAACGAGACTTATTGATATTATCGGTCTGGGGAGGCGATCCCAGCACGCGGCACCTTTGGCAACATAAAAAAAAAAACGATACCATGTGTTGACCTAAATCTTGTGAGTGGTTAGACAAAACTTTAAGAAAACCGTTGATCCTTGTACTAGCGCTTCACAAGTCATTGTGGCCGAGGATTTGAGTGTAGTGGTGATCATGACAGATTATGTGCTCACCCAGAAACTCTATCTAAAGTCCGCTCAGTATAGTCGCAGTATAAACCACATGAGCTTTCTGAATTTTTTTGAAGGACTTCTTGGTCGGATTGAGAAGTTTATTTTAAAAAGGATACTTTTTTTTTGTATTTTACAGTGAGGGTCACCCTTTACAATGTATAGGTTAAGTTTGTAGTGATCGAGGAAACATCCTGTTGGGTGTCTATTCGATATGGCATTGGTTCCTGCGAACCAATGCCATATCGAATAGACTGCTCGCGTGGAACTTACTTCTCATCAATGGAATATGGAGGGAATGTGGGTGGGGTTTGCTACAATGTAAGTGGAGTGGCGTGTTCTTGCCGTAAAGGTTTGCGTTGACGGGACCAGCACTTTCCATGGATGTAGAGGTAGAGTAAGGAGAGGCTTACCACATCCCGCCTGTGGGAGAGTGGTTGAAGGGTGGAGAATAATTCGTCACCCACAATGCTTTTAAACTCTATCAAGTGAGGTCTTGATAGCTCCTGCCCAAATATGACAAAAGTACACTATTTTTACTGTGCTGTTGTTATATTCCAGTTACTGTTAAATCTTGAAATATTCTTTCAAGAAATCACTTCATGTTCTTTGATTTGTCGGAGCTACAATGATATTAATAAAATATTTTAAAGGTTTTACCAAAGTTTTTGCATCTAAAACCTTTAGCATGTTACTTCATTATTTCATTTTTGTTGTTATGAGTTCCTTAATGACCAACGAATGGCCATTTTGATTAAATCTTAGCTGAGTAAAATTCCATCTGAAATATCTTACAGCTTTCAACTAAATTACATTTATTTTCATATAAAGGTTTTGTAAACAGTCAGTATTTAATAGTTTTATTTTCTCAATCTTCACTTCCAAATATGTCGTCTGTATTATTTTCAGTTAAGTTTATACTGTGAATGTATATTAAACATTTTCAAGTGCACTTCATTCTATTACATATACACACACACACGCACACACACACATAGGTACACACATATATATATACGAATAAAGTTGTTTAAAATTTGATATGAATAATAATAAAAGTGATATAATGTATTTTTTCACGCCTAACCTTCAACAGCTTCAGATAAAAGATAATCTTAGCAAATTTTAAAGTAAAGTGAAAACAGAAAAACAAAAACGAAACAAACGCTATGAAAAATAATGAATATTTGTCTAGAGCTTTAAAATAGATTTTTCGTTTAATACACAAGCATAAGACTAGTTTATAGAATTTTTCCATACTTTTAAGATAAAATTGCACAAAACTAACAGTTCTCATCCCAACCAAGATTCCAAAATAAATTCGGGTATTTGATTATTTGATCAAATTTTCGTGAGTTGGCCGAGAACTTTCCAGTACTCACACATATGCACCAATATATATGTAAATACAAACGCATATAGACATATATATATATATATATATATATATATATATATATATATATATATATCAGCAGCTCCAAAGAAAAACAATACATAAGATTTAAAAATCCATTTTAAAAATGAAAAAAATTCTTGAAGTTTTATTTTAGTTTTAATTTCAAACGAAGACATTAAATTTAATATTTCCAGTCTGATTTTAAATTGATTGGAATGAGTTTTTTATCAGTAAAAATGTTAAAATGGTTCAAATTTGTCAATACAAGGTAATTCTCTTTATTAAACAATCTTTCAAAATAAAACATACTTTCCTGAAAACTTTATTTGAGGAAAGCTAGCTGATTAAAGTTTAATTAATCTAATTTGAAACAAATATTACTTACTGTTAATTAAATATCTTAAAAAAGCTTTTTTTAACGCATAGGTTGGTGTTTTTATGAGGTTTTTACACATTTCTCAGTGGACATGTTTGGGAATTTTTTCTAAGAGGGGCATAACATTAACAATTATTTGATGAATGTGATGTATACACCTTTTTATATAATGTTTTTTAACAACCTAGTAATCTTAAAAATTTCAGAAAATATTTTCAGCAATCTAATATTTTACTGAATTTCAGGTACGAAAACGCCTGTTGATGAAATGTTACCAATAAATTTTAAATTTACTATAGTTACCGCTTTTATTTTTTGATAATGTTGAGTTTGGACATCCGTATTTATAAAAAGCGACACGTTTATGCACACATAAAATAAATGCAAAATTATTTTTTTAAATATTGGTGTCGTTGAAGTGTAATGAGCTTTTCCATACGAGATTAGTAAATACAGCTTTAATTTTCTAATAATAATATCACTTGACCCCCACAAATTAATACAGAATTTTAGAAGATTTAAAAGTTCATAAAATATTCTAATTAAAATTTTAAAACTGAAACAATTCTGGTAAAAATTCATTATTTATCGAAAAATGTGTTTTTTTGCTTAAGACAATAATATTCATAATATATTTTATAGATAAAAGCAAAAGTTTTGTTAATAATTAAGTAATAATTTTTTTTCGATTCATAGCAAATTTTCTGTAACTGGAGGTCCAGTTTCAGAAAAAAAATTGATATAAATCCTCCGAGTAGTCATCCTTGTAACTAATATAAACAATGCCCTAAAAAAAAGAACTTTTTGAAATTTTATAAATCAAATAACTTAACAAATGTAAAAAAAAAAAAATTTTTCAAACTATTTTCTTAAAAAGAAAAGTTTCTAAAATAATGTCATTCATTTGTGAATAAGGCCTGAAAATTTCATTAAAAGCCGACAATTATCTCTTTTTTGCAAGAATATAAAAATCAGTGAGTTTTGGACCACAAAAAGACGGTAAAACATCCTATAATAACTTATGGTTACCTGTTGGCGCAAGAGAAGCAACATTTTTTACCAAAATTTCGAAGATTCTAAAAAGAATGTAAAAATATAATATAATAATAAAAAATTCTTTGGTTCTTCCTCTTGATAATAGCATAAATGTTTTGGATATAACATTTTGTTTTACTAAGTTTGGGTCGTTTTTTCATCATGCATGATCATTTTTTAGCAAATGTTTGGAGGTACCTATACACACACACACATACATACACGCACACACACACACACACATATATATATATATATATATATATATATATATATATATATATATATACATACATATACACATATATATGTGGGGGGTGTGTGTGTGTTTTGTTTTTACATTGTAAAAAGAAATCTACAATGTTTTCAATTTGAGAGATGTTTTTGAGAAAGAAAAGCTTTAAAGTGAATGTGTATCTCTTGAAGAAATTTCATCCAGCCAGAAAGTGGTAGCCTATCATTAAAAAATTTACCTCTCTTGTGTTTAAAGTGGGCACTACTCCTTCAATGGATGTTGCCAATATTTTCTTTTTAAGATGAATAGAAAATATTATTACCTTTTGTTGTCAAGTTTTTCTTTTACCTGAATAGGACAGCCGAGAAATTTATTTTGTGAGAACGAGTAACAAAGTACAATCGACTTATAAAATTCGGTATATTGAACTTGATTATAAAAACGAAAGAAAATATTTATAGAAGCATTAAACATTTTGGATTGTAAGAATTCTATTTTGACAGTAAATATAACATCAATTTTTTGGAGGAAAACGATTTTTCCAGAGAAGGCGATACATTCACCTTTCCAAAGAATATTTGCGCGTAAATTAAAAAAAGCAAACGAGAAACTAATGTACAAACTATTTATACATATAAAATGTTTTTTCTGTCTCACTCAAAAATTTACAATTCACAATAAAATGGTGTTGATTAATGAACCATCATAATTAAAATGGCAATGGCCACCATTTACTGAGTTTCTAGTCTTTTAGTTTCTGATTGTTGTATGGTTTTGATATCCCCAAATGATATTTTACATATTTCAGCAAGAGATTTACTTCTGTTTAGATATCTCACATTTCAACTTACAGCAGGAATAGCGGCTCTGGGTGTTACCAGGGTTTTTACATGAAAATACCGCAAGCACAGTTGATGGATGATAATGAGTAAAACTATACCGTTCAGAATTGTATGGTGTTTTGTGGATATATATATATATATATATATATATATATATATATATCAGGATTATTGATGTATTTTTGAACTGAATCAGTATGATGATGAGATCTTAAATGGGTCTTCCGAAGATTTATTAATAACACTTTGAAGTTTGGGACTGAAGCAATAGCATAAAAAATTACAAAATGGCGATTAATTTGTATGTAATCTAAAGCGCAGATCGAAATGCAGCCTGTCGCTATCGTCAAAGAAAAGAGAGAAAAAACGGAGAAAAGGGACGACTGAGACGTAGAGGAACAAAGAAAATGGGACTGTAAAACGATGTAAAAAAGAATAAAGAGAGCAAGTAAAGCAAAAGAGAGAAATAGAAGGAAAAGAAAAAGACAGAATAAACGTAGGACAAACGAGAAAGGTTTTTGAAATGAAAATAGAATTGATAAAAAAAAAAGAAACATGTAAAGAAAATAAGTTTTTCAGGAAAAAGAAAGATTGCGTGATTCTACAAAAGAACAGAAGTCATCAAGAAAAAATATGTTTGAAAGAAGTAAACGACAAGTCAGATAATATAGAAAAAGAACAAACAGAATGATTTTGATGATAACGAAAATGAAGATACTTATCATGGAGATTTAGTCTCAACAAATAATCTAGTTGTTTTGAAAGCCAACAAACTGTCACTTGCTACCTTTTCTTTTTTGTATTCTGTCACAATATGTGAAGATGAATCAAATATTTGTCTGCAAATAAGAAGAACACAGATGATTTATAGACGGCTGCCTAAAAAGTTCAGAAGTTTGAAAAACAGTCCAGCTTTTGCTGACATTGACTGTCTATCCATGTAAAGTTTTTATGAAACGAATGAAAACACGAATAAAAACATAGATGACAAAAGGAGGTTCGTCCAAATATATTTTTGTATCTAAGTGAAGAGTTAATGTCGATCAATTTTTAAATTATAGAAATCTTACGAAAAATTGCTCTCACTTTATAAATTCCAAATTATTATCACATTTTTTTTTGAAACGTCATGAAAATTTGCACACGTATGGTATATCAACTTAATTTGAAAGAATTTAAAAAGAGTCGCAAATAATGAAAACGCGCTTCAAAAAGATTATAAATTCAATGCTCCCATCGTCAAGCATCTTAATGATGCCCATGTAATTAGCGTGTGCCGACAATAGGCAGATGGAAATATGACGCAATATATATAATCCAATACATGTGCAAAGACCAGTAATTATACAAAAAGTGTGAGATTGACATTTTTCAAGTCTCTCATTATAATTCGAAACCTGTAAGATTACTTGTAAATTCTTAAATAAGACCGGCTGTTTGTCCGGTATGGTTCAGTATTACAGGTTAGACACAAGTCTCCGGTTCCCAATGTCAATTCGAAACCATCCTTCAGCCACGTTGTGATTGTTTTGATCCTGGAGATTGGTAATCAGATCGTAGAAATCCGGAAGCTCTCCGTTGGTCCACCTGTGAGTTCGTCGGGTCAGAATCGGGTTATCAGAAAAATAAATATAACCAAATCGATTCGATTTTGAAAGGACAAAAGCTTTTTATATATATATATAAAAGCAAACACATACAAAAAATAATTCTTGTTGCACAAGGTTGAATGATCCTTGTATGTGAGCAATAACTAAACAAACACAAATACTTCGAATAATTTCGGTAAGGAAAGATGTGGCCTTCATTTTAACCCTTTTTAGTCTGTTCTTAGCGCAACTACTACAACCTTCGATGTTCCCGTTCTCAGTAGTAGTAATAATAGTATTAGTAGTAGCAGGAGTAGCAGTACTTAGATATTAGCAGCCTTGTTTCGCTTCTTCGACCACAGCTTCAGCAACACACAGCAGACGCTTCCTTCTCAATCTCTGACGTCTCTTTAATCAGTTCGACTGCATATAAAGACAGACGACCCCCTAAAAAAACTGTTTCCTCCGCTTGGTTCGCCTCTTTATTAAGAGAACCAGCCCTCACGTCCCAGACTGGTGACGTATGTTTTTCTAGTGCGCACGTACTGACATAGTACCAAGGTACAACTTCACTACTCCGAGAATAAACAATTTACTTTTTCATCGATTGGTTTCCAAGGTTCGCAACAAGATGCTATTTTTTTATCACCTCGCTATTAATTATTCTGCCGCTCTTTGTAAACTACAGAGATTCTTGTTTTAAAAATAAATTCTAGATCAAATCTTCCTTGATTTTAACTTCGATTTTTATAGTATCAAAATCCATTTCTTTTTTAAAATTTCCAAATTATTAGTGTTCCATTAATTTTCTATTATTCATCTGATATCCTTTGTACACTTACAAAAGATTGCATTTCGTGTTCTACTTAAATTTCTATTTCGTGTATTACTTTCTGTAACATTTACATTTCAAAGTCTTTACAGCATATTAACATCTTGGTTATTCGACAAACGCCTCTCTTTCCCTTGGCGTTTTCTGCTTTACAGCATATCCTCCGTTATTATCATTATTATTATTTCAGGGGTGATATCGCACCGCCACATAACGAAACTGAAATAGACGAAATAGGAAATGGCATTGAAATGATACAAAGAAAGAAATTAATCCACTGACTCTCGAAAGACATGAATAAGAAAAACGAATAAGTAAGAGAAACAAAAAGGTAAACAAACTAGACTCAAATAAATAAGTGAACGAAGCAGAGAAGAGAAGAAAATACGAAGGAAAGAAAAGCACTTTGGAAATCAAAGAGTACAAAGTACAAAAGAATGAAAGGACGAACAAAGAAAAAAATTAATGGAAAGAAAGAAACAATGAAGAAAAGAAAAAGAGAAAGAAAAGAAAATGAGAATGAAAGTGAGAAAGAAAAAAGAAAAAGAGAGACGAGATAAAGGAAAAGAGAGAAGAGAGAAAAAGAAAGAAAGAAAGAAAGAAAGAAAGAAAGAAAGAAAGAAAGAAAGAAAGAAAAGGGAAAAAGAGAAAAGAGAAAAAGAAAAAAGCGAAAAGCAAGAAAGAGAAAAGAAAAAGTGAGAAAGAAAGAATCAGAGAAAGAAAGAGTAAAGGAAAGAAAGAACATGAAACAAAAAAGAAATAAAATTATCTTGTAGATAGGAGCATCCTGGACGCATAAATATAATCTTCCATTTCACTTTGTAAAGAAATTTCTTACTCTCCCCAGAAAATTATGCATGTCTGTAAAAATTTAAGATATAAAAATAAAATGATCTGTCATCATCTCATTGTTTACTGAAGCTCATTCATACAATAGCAGCCCCACGAGATTTTTTTTGTGTCATATTTCAAAAAAACGCGACTTCGCTGAGGGATTCATGGATAGGTTAGGTCAATACCTAACCTATCCATGAATCCCTCAGCGAAGTCGCGTTTTTTTTTCTGAGAAAATTGTTCACTGAGCTCTATTCTTTTGACCTTTGCATCGCGAAAAAAATTTACTATTCCTTTTTTTTTTTTTGAATGAAATTGCATTTTTTCTATTTGTCTGATTCTACAGCTACTTGCAAGAAAACAGCAATATGTGACAACTGTATGAGAAAAGCTTTCATGCAAGCATTGAAGCGGAAGGTTTTTCATGCAGGCAAGCATACTGATTCATAAACATTTGCATTTTAATAGTTTAAACAGTTACGTATTTGTTACCAGTGTCAAAAATCAACTGTTCCATGGTTCAGGCAGTCAAAAAGCAGGACTTTAAATGCTTCTGTTCAATGCAAAAACAAAAAGAAATTCCCTATTTAGAACATTGGTGCAATTCGATCTTCCAACCTTATTTATGATCTTGATAGACCTGAGGATTGAAGTCAAGAGAAAAACACTCGAGAATAAGACGTCTGATTGACTGGTTCATTTTTTACGACTTATCAACTGTTTGCAGGTTATTTAAAGCTAGAAAATATTTTTAGATTGTAAGAATTCTTTAGAGATAATAAGGATTTACTGATACAAGTCCTACTAATTAACCTATAGGTGGGGGAGAAAATGTGAATTCATACCGCTCCCGAGATTATTAATTGACTATAACGAACACGACTGGAATTAGAACACGGCTCTCCGATTTCCAATTCCGAGCCGTTATCCATTACACCACTCGTACATTCAATTTTACAGTACCTGGTATTCCCAATCGGTCACTCATTTAGGTATTGACAAGGCCCGAAGTTGCTTAACTTCTGTGATCATACAAGAATCGGTGTTTCAACGTGATGTAGCCGTAAGCGCACGACTGAAAGAATCAGCGCACATGTTCAATTCTGACAACTTTCTCAACAGACCTTACTGTAAACACTGAACAGTATACATGGAAGATCCTGAATAAGAAAGAACACTTAGAAATAGCAGCACTTGAGTAAAGACATTACGTTTAACTCTCCAAAAGTACATCATAGGGTTACAGCGTACAGCTTAGGGAATAAAAAGATTGGTTAAAACATATCTGATTCCATGGATTGTGAGTTCAATCCCTGGGTCGGGTATTGCGGAAAAGACATAATTTGGGTTAGTGGAAGAAACGGGCAAGCAAACCCCAAATAAGCAAACTAGAATACTGATAAGAAATCTTCTCTAAACAGGGAAAGAGAGGTATGTACTCATCGATTCAAGAAAGAGTTCAGTTAAAAATGTCTTTACCAATTACGACAGACACCTGAAGAAAGGCGGTTGAAACGCCGTGAATATAGCAACCAGGATGGATATAATATCCCGAATGGAAATGCAAAAAATATTTTCACTTTACCATATAATACATTTTAAATATTTTTACGATCTTGACGACTAACTTTTTTGTACTTAAGTTACAAAAATGTCACGTAATATAATAATCATTTGAATCGACGTTCTTCAGTGGTCCACTCGTTTTAATGCATTTAGTGATTGAATAAAGCAAGTAAAATGCGTTTCACTTAACTATCTATTGTGGAACTTTTCTTCCGACCATAACGAATATGTAGTGCCGAGAGCTTTTGAGGACAATTGTTTACTGTTAAAAAACCAAAAAAACCCGTAAATCTGTAAGTAGTATGGAATACTAGTCATCGAAGACTTTAGATAAGTATAAGAATGCTGAATGCGTTACGTGCACTGTAAGAATTTAGCCAAGGATATATAGAGCTAAAATAACAGCAATCGATTATAACACATTTAATTAAAAAAAGCTATGAAATTGTTAACAGGAATGCCAAAAATCTTGAAAATAATACGAAATGATACCATTAAAAACCCAGATTTCCTTTTCTGATCTTAATATTGTCCATGTAAATATTTATCAATGTATAGTACGCACAACTTAACAGTTGTGTTCGTGCACATTTTAAGCCATCATGTATGAAGTTTTAAGATAGAAGCAACAAATTTATTTATTTCTCTTTTAATAAGAAGTGTATGCACCCGTCGTATAGCGTGTTCAGAAAATGTGTATTATAAATAGATATTATTATTTTACTTTATTAAAAATTAATGCTCAATTAAATTAATCAGCTTTCTATGAAAATAAAAATAAATAACTTCCCAATTAATTCACAGTACTTCATACTCCAGGGGCACGGTAAATGTCAGTTCAAAAGAGTCCAAAAATCTTCTCTCAAAAAGCATTAAAATTGTGGATTGCATTTTCGCCTGTGAACAAAACACTTGTCTAATTTATTAATGAAGGAACGGAAAAAACCGAATTTCGATTATGTAAACTAAATGTTTCTAAATTCTGATGGATCACATCAGAATTTATAAACTGAAAAGAAACACATCAGTTGCAAAATGCCAGATGAAGTCAATCTAAGAATGACAGTGTTTTTTTTATGAATGAGCAGCCAGAAGAAAGTTCCTTATTAAAATAAACAAAATCAAATGCAAATGGAGTCGACTACTGGGATTATAGATGTGTCCTTGGATTTTTGGAATACAATCTTTTCAAGTGCAATTTTCAAACAGCAGTCAATTATGAATAAGAATATTGTCTGAGGATTTTGCGCGAAATGCTTTCAATCCATTATCCAGATGGCGAACATTTTATTATTGTGTGAATAGCACTGGCTCTTCAAAGATTCTGGAGTGTTGGATAAAACATTCCCATTTTGTCTGTTCATAGTATTTCCTGGCGGTTAGTCGGTCAAATGCAACAGACTTTTCATGGGCCACGGCGTAATGAAAGAATCAAGAATGGAAGTTTGAAAAACTTCTGCTCGCATGTCTCTTGAACATGTTTCAGACATTTTGGAAATACATCCAGAAAAACAACAAAAGATGATTTGCTTCGTGCTTTCATTTTTGCTTAGATGGATATGCCACACGAAAATATAACAGATCTGACAATGTCTGAAAAAGGCGAAAACTTTAAAATCTGCTTATGACAACTCCACCAAGTTTTAATCTGTAACTTAAAATATTCTTGAATTGTTTGGAATATTGCTTAAAAAATATAAATATCTTTTGTTATGTTTATAGATATTTTCCATATTAAACACTCAATTGAACATTAAGTGAGTGCGTCCATTCCAAATTTCCTTAGTCAAGTGAGCACAAAGATACAAACAAAATGTGATACAATTACAAAATATAAACAATGCTCACGTAATTTGGTGACATTTATCATACCAGCCAAATTCATGAAGGTTACAATGTTATCCATCTTTTTTTTCTTTTCTTTTCTTTTTTTTCTTTTCTTTTCTTTTCTTTTTTTTTCTTTTTTGAACGGTTAAAAAAGAAGTAAATTCCGTCATTCATAATCATATAATTGTTACCGACTCTAAATTAGAAAAATTAATCAAATAACTGGACACAACATTCACTGGACGAGGCAACGATAGAAAAGAAATTTATTACTGGTCAACTGCCAAACGTAACCTCTTGACAGAAACAAATATTGAATGAATATAGTCAGACATATATATCAATAAAATGATTATGTCCATATATAGATATGTAAATTAAATAATATTAATTCTCGATTTTGATTGGCTGTCACGAAAACTAAAGGTTAAATACCTTATTCCCTATGACCATATATTTTCAGTTTTCATTGTTTTTTTCTAATGGATTGGATTTGGTTGCTTTCACTTAGCACAGTGTTTTTCTTGCTATTAGAGCAAAAAAGAACAACAATTTTTAGTGTTAATTACATCGATGGTCAAACAGAAAAAGAAATGGATATTTAGATATTTCTTAGTTTAATAAGAAAGCAAACTTTTATGGAATAAAAGATTTTATTTATGTTGGCTTGTGTTTGCACTGAAAGAATAAAAATTTTCAGTCCATCGAGAGAAAAAAAAAGATAAATATAGACATTTTGATGGTATAAATCAATTTGGTATAAAACCTGCTAAAATGAGAACTTTTTTACACAAATTTCCCACTCGTGTATGTGATTGCTGAACTTATGTACGTACGTGTGTGTGTGCGTGTTTCTATCTTTGAGTTTAACACATTAATATCCACCGTTTCAAAAATGAGACGATGGACATTCATGACTATTCGATGGCAACCTATAATTAATATCAGATTTTTATTTCAATTTGTATAATTAATACTGGATTTTATAATGGGAATTAACTGGTTAAACTAAGTGACGATAAAATCTAATCTCTGTTCGGAAATTTCGTAGCACAATGCACAATTTCTGTTATCAGTTCTTTTGCAATATGTAGCTGCATCTATAAAAGGCATGGCCACTATCATCAAAGAAACTTTGAACTGCTTGGCCATCATACATCAAAATTGTTTATCAAATATGGATAAGAAAAAGGAAGAGATAAAATTGTTAGGAAGTCCTAAATAAAGAAAAGAATAAAGTAGATATTAAACTAAATGCCCAGATAGACTGACATAAAGAGAAATGACTTAGGAATAGGAGATGCATAGATTTAAAGATAGGTTGTAAGCAGACAGATTTTATAATAAATGCTAACTAATCCGCATACATTTGAACAGGCTTGTACTCGTGTACGTGTTCTCATGATATACGTTCAATTGAATAACGTTGGAGTTTTTATGAAAAAATTCGTATTTTCGTTTTTAATATCATTTCCAAAATATTTATTGATTTTCTAACATCCCATTTTGGTAAATGGAGTGTTATACTTGATTGTATAGATACAAGTGGAGACGGATCCGTCTTATCGCGGTTAACTGATTACACTGCAAGCAACAGAACGATTAGGTTTTTATTTTTTTCCCTTTATAATGCTATATCTTTATTTTTCGTCTTACAAATACGAACACACATACACACATATTATCACATTAAACGTTATTTTTAGTAGATACCCATCTTTGAGTAGACGCTCCGTTTATTTATTAAACGGTATTTTATTTAAGGACACTGAATTAAAATTAAATTTTAGACTTTATTTATGAATAATAAGATGAAATAAGTTATGTATATAATGATTTTTAAGCATAAATATACACCTTTCCTGTACTATACGCAATAAATCGAAATTTATTTATCTGTAATTTATTGAGACTGCTTGTTGGTATTATTACTCAACTCTAACCTCCGTGGACATATGTGGGTGTTCATATCCAGGATTTCGGATACTGATTTTAGAGAGAGAAACTTCACCAATTAGAAAGATTGGACTAAAAGAACCTTTTCAGTAGTTAGTAAATTCGTTTACTTGTAAAATCTCCAAATCCTACGTAATATAGATAAATATATGCAATCCCTCACACAACAGCTAGATTTGCAAATGTAACATCTAGCATTAGTAAATTTCTCGATTGAAAACAATCCTTGAACTCTTTTAGCAGTCTTAATGAAAGACATTCAGTTTCACAAAATATCGAAATAAAATCACTAAAAGGAAACATCCGTAGTAGAAGAAAAACTCTTTCTCTTGTTGGCCCGTAACATTCTCATTCATTCTATATGAATATAGATATTGACTTCCGAATACAAAAATAGATTTGCGCAGGCGTAATACATGCGTATTAATAACGAACTTTTAAAAATATTATTATTTTTTTTTGATTTCATACCTGCTAAGAATTTTATATTGTTATCCTTTAAGCATTTTCTTGATCGATATAAACGTGTAACTGAATTTTTGGATTTTAACAATTACCCACTATTTTCAAATGATGCAATACCAAAATATACTTTGTTTTAGCAGAATTCAGTTGTATAATTTGAAAATTTACAATGAACTATTTTAACGTAAGCTTCAGCTTAAAATAAAGATGGTTGTAAATAATGAGCTTGCTCTTCTTGAAAAGCAAAAAAAAA